AATAAATTTCAAACAATTTAATAAAACAACAATAACTACAGAAATTCATACTAAGAACAATGAAATACATTACAAATTAATAAAAGGATAAATAAAAGCATTACCATGATTAAGCGTTTCATACAGAATAAAATTTCATACCGCCTTTAACATGCCACAACGTAATCACTATCGTATTACTGACAGCAGACACGCTATCAGAAAATATACTATGGTTCACAATAATAAAATCACAAATCCCTACTTCTATCATGCACTGCCATTAAAAAATATCTCCCAGACCCTCTTCCACAGTTCCAAATACCCACTACCCTCAAACAGGATAGCCACAATCATATTCCTTTGCCGAACTTCATCACAACTACCATTTTATTTTTCCCCTCCCATCTTCTCAGACACAGAGGCGACCAAAGAGCTCCAGCGAAGATGTTTCAACGTCAACAGGGTTGCCATAGAACCGCAATCGCGCGAAAAACCAGCGCAGAACACATATCGCCACATTTGGTGAAATTAGGGCGTAATTAGAGTTGTACCACTAATTCATATTTTATAAATATAAATCTTATTTTATAAATATTAATTTTTCAAGTTATTGATAAATGAAATTTAAAAAAAGGCTAGTTTTATATACAGAAATACTTATGTGTATATTTATATATTTCATCCTGAAATGATTTTTGCATCATAGATTTCATCATAGAATCCACAGATTATTATTCTTTGCATATACATTAAAATAGCCCTGAGCCTCCTATTCTGTGAAGAAAAATATGGAAACATGGTAGAATTATCTATTGTGTGCTGCGTACTTACCATTAAGAAAGAAAATACACAGCATCCTTTGGTGGTTCAATCTACAAGAGGTATTTTTAAAGAACTTCTAGACAGGCAGTAGCTCTTAGAGATATAAACTGCACATGCTAATGAAGTTCTAGCTATGATTACTGGACATTTCCTCAGGAAAGTAGTCACAACAGTCTGATATTCGTCTCTTGACCGACTCGTTCATCTTTTTCGGATTCCATCATATTAAGGCTTCTCCACACTCAGGAACTTTCCCCACCATCATGAACTGCGGAATGACCTCTTCGGATACTAAACGTATGTTGTGTACAAAATTGTTTGAAAGTCGCCCACAGTTTGTTACTCAGGGACAGCGCACCTAGCGCGAGGGCCCATTAACTGCGAACTGCGTTCGCCTGAGTCGTCCGATATTACCTTGCTATCTTTTTCTGGTCGTTTTAACTTCAGCCTCTAACTAAAATAAGTTACTATAAGCATGCAGATCTCAAATTTTTCCTTCTTTAATGCCTTTTAGAAGTTATTATTTTCAGTAAAGTGAACAATCACCCACTGCTTAGCACGTTTTTAAGAATTCACAAACTCGGTATCCATCTGCACATCGACCTATTTTCACTTAAAAAAACATCAGTAAATTGCACAAATTTGGCATTGTGCAATCACTTTGTCCATGTATATATGTATTTTCACTAAAAAAGTCATAGGAAATTGACAAAAATCCAATTCTTCTTACTCTCGTATAAAGAACCAAACTTAATGCAGCAAATAAGTGGGCGATTCTGCACTTCACCCATTATACACCTTTGCTAATAATAAGAATTCTGCAATTTAAATTCTTGTTAAACTTTAACTTCTTGTTAAACCTGAACAAGAAGATTTACTTCTGCCCATAGTCCTAAAGTAGCAGCAATGAATAATAAGAAAATAGTGCTATGAACAATAATTTAGCAGTAATTTTTAGAGGTACTTTTCTGTTAATGGGAGCCACTTAGCACTAAATATAGATGTTGATTCAAACCAGATGGTACCAACTCTAATGATATGTAAAGCTTTATGAAAAAAAGATGAGCTTGTACTAACAGTAATGTATCATACAATATATGTACAAGTATAATGCTTAGTGTGTAGAATGCTAAATCAATGCAATTCTATTTTCACTTAAGCTGTGCAATTCAATTTCCACTTAAAAAAAAAAATCAGAGAGTTACACAGGTGACTGCACTCCATTAACAGAAAAGTACTTTTTCAGTTTATCTTATACGTATATGCTTTTTAATCATACAAGTTTTATCTTTCAGTCCTTAAGTCAGAAATGTTACACTGCCATGTAATATTTTCCTCTATATTAAGCAATAAAGTTAATGAAAAAAATTTTGGAAAGTATGTGAGTAAATAAAGGGATTTCTCATGGCAATATAAGTAAATAATTAAATTACTTTAAAACCCATTAAATTGCAATAAATGAAGTATTCTATTTAAGAAGGAATAACTGTTTGCATTCTAATGGATTTACATCTTTATTTTCCATTACATCTACCAAATATAATGTTTATCATAAAGTATAATAAATTTTTAAATGTGAATATCATCAAGAAAAATACACTATTTTTTATTTCTGGTGTATTACACAATTTTCTGGTGTATTACACAATTAATCATTACACAATTTTTTAAAAGAAAATTGTGTAATGATTAAAATACTTTTCATATTAAATAAAAATATTACTAGTTGGTTAAGAGTAGATTTAAGGGTGCCCCTTGAATTACAGGTAAGTTGTTTCATTTATCGCCAAGTTGTTTCGTTTATGGGAACCTGAGTGGTTGAATGTTACTGAAACCCTATTATGACATAATTGGTTGCCTGACTGCGATGAATTTGAATGATGGGAAAATATTTGTAAGGGCTTGTGGGAAAAAGTGCAGAATAACCCACTGCTTCGCGCATTTCACAAAATCGCCAACTTGAAAATAACAAGTCAAAGAATTGCACAAACTCGTTATCCATGTACACATCAACCTATTTTCACTTAAAAAAAATTAAGAGAATTGCACAAACTTGGCAATGGACACTCCCTTGATTTTGTCCATGTACACATCGACATGTGCCATATAAGTGGGCGATTCTGCATTAACTTGAAATAACAAGTCAAAGAATTGCACAAATTCAGTATCCATGTACACATCGACCTACTTTGGCTTCAAAAAAAAAAAAAAAAAAATCAGAGAATTGCAGAAACTTGACATTGCGGACTTCCTTGATTTTGTCCATGCACACATTGATATGTGCCATGTAAGTGGGCGATTCTGCACTTTACTCAGGCTTGTGTGTGTGTTGGTTATTTTGTGTTTTACATGGTAAAATGGCTGAATGTGGTAAGATTAATTTTAATTCCTGTACAATTTGGAACGAAAGGAAAAAAAAAAAAAAACATTAATTGACTGGTGCATAAATGAAGGTTTACTTGGTAGCCATTATTAAGTGTCCTGTTTGTAGGAAGGAAATGCTTATGGGTAGAACATCGGACGATACTAGCATTACAGAGGATATTTTTTACTCTTATTTTTGTGAATTTATGTGAGTATGCCAGTATACAGATTCTAGTTCAGATAATTTTAGGAAGTTTTTGGATTTTGTTAAGGAATTTTCTTTGACTGAAGACAGGAAAATGTGTAAATAAGGTAAGTGGATATTTCCTTTGTGTAGTGCTAAGATGAATTTCCTTTTTTATGTTATTTCATTGTTTGATTTAAAATGTAGTTTATTGAGATTATATATTTTTTGTTGGCTGTCTTTTGACTTTTTAAGTAAATATAGATTGGTGTGTACAAAGACAAAGTCAAGGGAGTGCACAATGCCTAGTTTGTGCAATTCTCTGTTTTTTAAAATAAAAATAGGTCAGTGTGTACATGGATACCGAGTTTGTTCAATTCTTTGATTTGTTATTTTGATATGTGTAGCAGCGAGTTTTGGCGCAAAAATCAATCGCTGCTACACAAAGCTAAAATAACAAGTCAAAGAATTGCACAAACTTGGTGTCATGTACTGCCAAAAATCACCAATTATCACCAAGGGGCACCCGTAACTATATTTTTACCTACTAGTTTGCAGCAGGTTTTTTAATGATTATGGAAAATTTTTTAATGCCTTAATTCATTTCGGAATTATTTTTACTATTTATTCAAAAAACTAATTTTTAAATACTCTGAGTAATGAGGCAAAACAAATTTAAACTGAAATTTACTAACATTCAATAATTAGGGTTTCAGGGAAAAAAGGGAGATTTCAATTTAATCAACATCTATTAATGCTTTCTCAACAAGAAATATAATTGTGCTTAGCATATCTTGCTAGATGTGTGAAGAAATGTTTTTCTCTAAAACGGTATGTAATATGCCTGTTATACACGCATATAATTTTTATATTATCTCATTACAGTATTACTCTAAACAACACAAGCAGTCATTTAAAACAGTGGTAAAAAAATTCGGTTTCACCTTCCATTTTAAAGAATATTATTATGTTAATTCTTTTTCATCTTTATATATCCGAAGTTTAGCACATGCATGTGAATTTCTTTGAAATTCAAAATACAATCACTTCCTCAAATAACCAGGAGATTTATCACAGCAGCAAAAATAAATAATATAAAGAAATCACTATATAAGTATTTATACATTTTCAAAGTACAGCTGAAGTAACATATGTCAAAACTAAAAATTAATACATTGCAAAATAGAAATTTGATTCTCCCAGAATAAATTCCTATATTATTAATGGCTTATTTTTTATATAATTACTAGTAATTTCATTATTAATTACCTTAGTTCATGTAATGAAGTAATGAAATCAAACAGGGATGACATACCAGACAGATTTTGCAGAATTTTATAACCTAATAAGCTAATGCACAGTGATTTTTGTTTTCTCTTGAGCTACAACAGATATTACATTCTTGTTATTTAAAATATTTTAAAAATTATTTCATTCTCATGTTTACATGTAAGAAATAAATGTAGTAATAGATAAAGGTAAATACTGAGATGAAAATTAAAGTCCTACATAGACTGCTTTTATAAATGTAAAGAAACAGGAAAAAAAATCGCATGTCGTACAGTTGTAGATCGAAACATAAAAAATTTCATGAAACCTTTCACTATGCAGGAAAAGTAGACGATGGAATAATGCATAAACAACTTACCCATAATTCGATTCCCCAACTCATTTTCATGTATTATCCAAAAATTATCAACTCATATAAAGACTTGAAGGTTTTTCGTGGCTCTCACTATAATTTAGTTCACATATTCGACATTACACTTGGCAGATTCTAGTATTAATTTTACAAAAAACTTTAATAAATTTTGGGTATAGAACCATGTATAATAATTTTTAAAGGAACGTGTTCAATATAAATGCACAGAAATGTGATTTGACATTTGCTGTTAAATCCTACAAGGATCAAGATGTTTTATTATTTAACATCCACAGAATAACACATCTTGCCAATCAGTTAACAAACAATGATTCGATTACAAACAAGAATTATGTAAACACATCAGAGAGATGCGGGAGGTAATATTTCGGTCTTCTCATCACCGTACGACCGTAGACAAACCTTTATCGATTTGGAATCACTACACCCAGTGCCTATCTCGTACACCAGAGAGCGCAGTCATACACTGTTGTAAAGTTAATGCCATTCTTTACATTAATTCCACAACTAATTTAAAAACCTATCTGCTCGCATATAAATTTAGATTAGTTTATAAAAATGTAATTTCCCTAATGGTAACATAAGTACCGTACTTATGAATTGGAAGTATCTGTATCTGTACTTATGAATTGGAAAAACTTGTCAATTAATATCGTAAGAATAAAACATTTCGCACAACATTCAATCGCTTACTTTAAGCCGCTAACTTTAGTCCTATAAAAATCAAAAGTAATAACGTGATTCCAAAGTCTAAATCCATATATACCTCAGTTTAATCGTGGTTGAGAGAAAAAATACTACGTTTTTGTTTTTCATTTTACAGACACATGCATGTTTTCGGAGCATTTGGGCTAAACATATTTAAAAACAGCATATCTTTAGAATTTCCGATAGACAGGGTCGTGTGCTGATAGTGTCGTGTGCTGAGGAGGAGGGAAGATGCAACTCAAACGGTGAATCTTCTGTAGCCATATTACTCCAGATACTGTGACTCCTGCAAGAAATGATTCTCACTGGAATATTTTTTTAAGCATGAGATCTTATGTTGTATATGAATGTACGAACAAAACTTCAAAAGATTCCCGGGATTACCTTTTCACTCATAAGTACTGATTTTTTTTTAATTTAATAAATATGCTGGAAAATATCACAGTGTCATGTGTTTTCTTTCCAGATGGAGAAAAGGACTTAATAATAATCAAATTATGTTAAATATATTTTAAGATTTCTATTTATAATGGTGTCTTGATGTCTTATATGATTCACCGGACGCGACACGAGAGCTGCTGGGCATCCATTCAACGAGGAAGACAGGGTGTGGTTGTAGAATCCGACTCGACGGAAAGGACTCTGTCCGAAATTACAGTCACCTTGGGATGGTCCGTACACAGTCCTAAACAAGCTGAATGGTGTCGTGGTTTGGATGCGTAAGTCATCGAACTCTAAACCTAAAGTCGTTCATTACGACAGATTAGCTCATTACTATGGCCATAGACGTAATGTAAATAATTGTAAGTAGTATAAGACCATGGTCCTTTTTGTTTCTAAATGTGTAGTATTTGATTTCTATTTTGTATTTTGATTTCTATTTAGTATTTGATTTCTATTTAGTATTTGATAACATTTGATTTGTTTTAGTTATTGCATTTATGGTTCATGTTGTTTGTTATTGTAATGTAATTTTTATTATTGCATTTATGCCTTAGTTGTAAGTTTGGCTTCCTGTCCGGGGTTTGTACTGCCCGGGACGTGCAGTCCTTGGGAAGGGGGCAGTGTTACGGATTTGGCATTTAAATAGCTAATGTTAGTAGAATTATAAATTAAGTTGTTTATTCCCCGTGCAGTGCAGCGCGTGACGAATTTTAAAGGAAAGCTAAGCCGGAAAATTAAAAATACAAGAACACGTGCATTTAACATTTAATCAATAAATACCTCTTTTTGATTTCGAGAAAGTTCCAGAAAATTCTCGCACACGATTTAAAATCTAATAAAAAGGAGAAAATCCTCTCAATTCGATTATTAGTTAGTTTGTTGTTGTTTTAAGAGTTTGTTTAGAAAACTGCTCTTGTTGACTGTAGCGAATTCGCGGATTAGCTTTCTTTTGCTGTTTTGAATTAAGTTCTGTTGAACGTTTGAGTAGATAAAAGGTAACTACTTTGAGATATTGTAATACAGTACGAATATCTGAGAAAATTCGCAGTAGCTAATCGTACCGACGGTGCGAATAGCTAACAGGCTATTCACACCACCTACGTTCGCGCATGCGCACAAGGAGCCCAGGTACAAAGTAGGCGGTAGTGAGAGCGAAGGTTGTTAACCCTAACTCAGGAATAGAAATGGTTGTTAATAGTTCACCAGCAAGAGAATAATTTGCAAGTAATAATTATCACTTCTGAATCAGTATTTATTCGGCGTGCTATTGTGTCTTAATTAATAATTATCAGTTACAAAGACGAAGTCAATCTATATACATGATAATGTTCAGGAAATGATTAGATAAAATAGAGATTTAATGATGGTTCTAATTGCAAGCGAGGACGAGTAATAGTTTAAAAAAACTTTAGTGTATTGACAAAAAGGCTACAGAAATCAATTAAATTCTTTTATTTAACAGAGGAATTTTTATGCAAACTTAGACCCTAGTCTTATAGCATTGGACTGTCCGAATTTATTATTCAATAAGAAAATTACGTGAGTGAAAGTTGTAATATTATATATTCATCACTTTTTCAGTATCCACTCATGTTTATAGGTTAAAATGCCATATTCAATATCAAAGTTATTTATGAAATAAAAACCTTATAAAATCTGATAAAATCATTTGTGTGTGCAAATTTTTAAATCTAAATCTCTTACATTAAATATTTCTGTCTTTAAATTACATCTCATTATTTATTTCAATTCAATTGATTAATGTGTTTGTACTACTATTTCAAAGTTCTTTCAAGCACTTTTTGTGTCCTGGAAATGCCAAGTATTTCTATAAAAAAAATAAGCAGGCATACAGAATAATTCATTTAATAGTTCATATAATCGCTTTTAACTGATTTCATGTCTAAATTTTCTACACGAAATTTTTCAAAGAGGAATGAATTAACATTGAGCAAAACACATCTTTAAAGCTAAATGTATTCTAAGAAGTACAAAAAATGTCAACACGATTTTGCCCCCCCTCCTTCAAATCAGTCATTTAAACTATTCAAACCGTTCAGGAAAAGGATAAACATTGAGAACATAAAAATCTGCCAATGTTTATATGTACTTTAATAAAAGGAAATGTGTTCCTTCTTATTATAAGAAAAGGAACCCATTTTCCTCTCTAAGTTCTTGAAAGTCGCCAACGCTTAAAAAATGATAAACTTACGCCAAGGTAGAAACCCGCCTTTGCGTGATTAATTTTGGTGCGAATAGCTTAAGCGGCTAATCGCACCAGTGGTGCGAATAGCATCGGCCGAGAAAATTTAAGTATTTTGTTTTGTTTATTTGTGATAACAATAAATCTTATTCAATTTTCACCGGACTTGCGCATCCAATTCCTAACGAACCCGTACGCACGCAACAGTATTACAAAAATTTAAATCTGATTATAGTATAAAAAATACAGTATTTTAGTCACAGTGAATGGAATATCCTAGCTCGTTTTGACGAGTTTTGTGAAGAAGATGTCTCTGTAACTTTCCGACGGTGACGTAATTGCATTTCGTATTAAATACGGGAAGAAACCGTAACAAAATACTTTAAATGTTAAGGTTTCCGTAGGTGATGGCATTTAACCATACTTCAGTATTTCAATTATAGAGGCACTTCGAGATGGTAACACTAGAATGATCGATGAATTTCAACAATGTAAGAAGGCACTCCAAAGGAATTATGAGCCAAGCTTCAACAGTTACATTTGCCCGGGTCTTTCTTCGGCATTACCTCAACTTTCTAGAACACTGGCTTACTCTTTGGAGGATTGCAATTAATAATGAAAAATAAAAGCAATAATTTTTCGTAAAGGACATACAAATTTAAAATCATTAAAACTTCTGTGTTTGATGAAAAAATTGTTTGGATTGACGAAGTTAAACGTCTAGCAGTCATTCTAGATAAAAAAATGACTTTTCAGAAAAATCTCACGGAAACTGTGCAAAAAACTACTATCATGCTTGCAACTATACGCTCACTTCTTGATAGAGTGAGTGACGGGGAACGTGGTCACCATTCCTCTACCATTGTGGTCAATCGGTTTAGCTCCACGTCCATTACTTCTTGGTAGAAGTCATACGGCCACTTCAAATAAACTCATGTTATATAAATCTACACTTCGACCAGCTTTATACTAGTCTTGTCTGGGACCACGCTGCTTAAAAATTCACCTTCAACATGCCCAAATTCTTCAAAACAAAACACTCAGAGAGATTATCAACTATCCTTGGTTCATTCCAAACTCGGCGAATCTTCGGATTATGGTAACTCGGCGAATTTTTGGCGAAAATTTGGCGACCAACCCTGCTACAGCAACTTGCTAGTTTTATTTTTGGACGCCATTTTGTTTTCACGAGTAAATGCGTTTTTTTTTTTAAACTCAACATTTTTTCCAGCAATCTGCTAGCCGAATTACGCTTATGCTAGAACTTTTATGGAACAAAAGTGCTTAATCATGACGAAGATTAGGTGCGAAATTGGGAGAAAGTGCACAATCGCCCACTGCTTCGCGCGTTTTTAAGAATCGCACATACGCGGTATCCATGTACACGTCGACCTATTTTCACTTAAAAAAACATCCCAGAATTGCACAAAAATGGCATTGCGCACACTCTTGACTTTATCCATGTACACATCGACCTATTTTCACTTAAAAAGTCAAAGAAAATTGACAAAAATCCAATTCTTCTTACTCTTGTAAAAAGCGCTAAACAAATTAGTGGGCGATTCTGCATTTTAGCAGCGAAATTGTTTCTAAGTGCTTATTAGCTAAAATCACCGGAAAATTTTCCGAAAAATGTCACATGACATGTCTCATAATCTCTCATTTCTCTGAGACAAAATAATCTGTGATTCGAACTGTGTACTTCTCAGATTATTGCTCAAGTCCTACCTAGTAACCTTTATCGCCTTAACAAAATGTCGCCAAACTACCTGTTACCATATTCTAAAGATTAGCCCCAAACTCTTATATCCACCGTGATCTCAACGTAGAACATCATTCAAAAACTAAAACTAAACTCAGTGGCGTAACAGCCCTAATGTGCCAAGGTCTGCAATGCCCGAAATCTGCTTTCTTAACCGTGGGGCCCGGGGTGCGTAAGCATATGCCCTGAACAAGTGGTCAGCTTTTCGCAGGACTCCCGGTGTTTAGTCCCCAAGCGAACTTGGTAGTCATTCTTTCCCAAGGACTGCCCGGGACGTGCAGTCCTTGGGAA